GGAGTTCTCCTTTCCCTCTGACGCTAACTACCCTTCTGTGGGAGGAGAGGACTGACTGCTAATGTCTGTGTGGTAGAAGCTGCCTCCGTGCAGAGTTCTGTGTTGCTCAGAAGTTTGTTTAATTGGCTTCTGAGGCTGGTGAATAATAACGGCTCATTTCAAGTGTTCTTCGTCAACATAAGTTCTGTAATCCATGTGACAGGCCTGTAAAGTGGTGTTAGGCTGGCTCTTACCAAAGTTTTTGAAGGGTCTTAGTGCCGGGGTCCCCAGCCTCTTTGAACCGACGGGCACGTTTGCAATTCTGACCTAGCGTGCTGGGCCCAGCAACAAAATGGCTGCCGCAGGAGGCAGAGCCAGCCACAAAGTGATTGCCGCAGCTTAACTTTAGTAACACAGTGAAGATCCTCATGCTGTGGCAGCACCTGCTGCCAAAACAACATTTTAAAAAATCTGCACAGCCAATCAAATCACCCAGTCAGAAGCCATGCTGGGCAGAAGTCCTGCCTGACTGTTCACACTTCCTACAAACACTTGGCAGGTGCCAGAAAAGGTGCCCCTGGGCACCATGTTGGAAACCCCTGTTCTAGTGTCATTAATTAATAAGGTCACCATAAGTTAGAAGCAAACTTGATGGCACTTAACACACACACACAGTGCATATTTTTCCTCTTGTTCCTCCAGGGTGATATATAATAGCTCTCCCTTCTCTCTTCACAACAACCCTGTGAGGTAGCTGAGGCACAGAGAGAATGACTGGGCCAAGGTTGCCCAGTGAGCTTTGTGGAGGACTTGGGATTTGCCCCTTCTCTACTGCGGTCCTCCTCATTGCAATCTACGATCCCTGAAATACGGCTTTTGGGTATTTGAAAAGGGGGATCTGAAAAGGTTGGCTTAAATGGTGCAAATATGTGTCGTGTTTTATCAACCCATCACAAAGAGGCCTGTGTAGCCTGCAAGCTTGAGCACCTGCGGCTTGCTTTCCTTATCTAAAAATGGCTTCCTTTTGCAACTGGGATTTCTACTGTGTCTCTCCCTGCCCATACTAGAAGGCCCCCCCTCCCGATCCCAGCAGGCTCCTTTCTCCCCTTATTAATTCAGACACATTTTCTTTTTCACTGGAGACCCCACTTTTTTCCAGCGATCCTAGCTGGTGTACGACCTTCCACCCAGTTTTGCCATACATAGAACCTTCATGCTCCCGCCCTCCCCACCAAACATGTCCTCAGTTTCCCCTGCGACCTTACTTTTTATGAACCTGGCTCATTATTTAATGTTTCCTCTTGCTGTAATGCCAAATAAAACTTCCTCCTATTGCCCTAATATTTGACCATGCATGGAGAATTGGGGGTCAAAACGTGTTTTGGTCTTTTGGTTTCTGGCTCACGAACCATGAAAGGTTTTAGACATGTTTAGGATTGTTGTTGAGATTTGAGGATCGTGTGTGTGTGTGTGTGTGTGTGAGAGAGAGAGAGAGAGAGAGAGAGAGAGAGAGAGAGAGAGAGAGAGAGAGAGAGAGAGAGAGAGAGAGAGAGAGAGAGAGAGAGAGAGAGAGAGAGAGAGAGAGAGAGAGAGAGAGAGAGAGAGAGAGAGAGAGAGTAAATATGTCTGTTTTGAGGTATACTCACAATATCCTCACCTTTTGTTTTCTGGTTTTGAGGTTGGTTGCAGGTTTTTAATTTCCCCGTTTTTTTCCTCCAACATCACATGAGCCCTTTGTTGAGCATCTGCCTTGTATGCTCAAGGTCCCGAATTCAATTCCTGGCATCTCCAGTTACCGGATCTCAGATTGCAGGTGTGGGGAAAGACCCTAACCCTGGAGAAGCATATGTAGCATATACTGGGGCCATTCTGGACGAGAAAGACTGGCGATCTCACACTGTCTGGCCTAAGGCAGTGTAATCTGTTTGGGGATTTCTTGTTGCATGCTGGGGACTTGCATGGACTTGTGCAAGCTGTCTGCAGCGTTCTCAAATGGGAACGATCTTTACCCCAGGCCTGTGCGGTTGGCAGATGAGTTTGTTTTTGCCTGTGACTAGACTCTTCAGCGTGCTTTCCCTGCGTTAAAGCCCCTGCCAAAAGTCCTGGCTTGCTAGTTTTCTGCCTGTGGGGGGAGTAGTTACCACATGGCAGTCTCTCCGGGTTGGCATACCCCAGAACCCAAGGCCAGGGCCTCCCACACACACACCTGAAAAGGAGCCAGATCAACGTGTCTTTTCCTGTTTACCGTAACAGGGCCACAGTGAGGTCTAGATGCTTGTTCCTGCCATAAGAAAGTGGAGCAGACATGAGACCTGTCAGTTGTGAAAGCTGGATCTAGTCAGTGATACCCTGCCGTTTCTTCTTAAAACCCCCCCCCCTTCTCTGGGACTGGTCTCTGCCAGCTGACGGCATCTTCTGCCTTGCCAGAGAACACGTTCTGGAGGCAGGGGCAGCGCAAGAATGCAGCCAGTCTGGCCACATTGCTGCTGGATGCATGTGCTCATGCTTCTTGTGCCTGCAGTAGACGGGTAGCCGTTGATGCGGGGGGGGGGGGGGTGTTGAGTGGTTGGCTTTCGGCCTGGCCCGGCTGGGGCAGTTGTGGGCAGGAGCTTGGCTCTCTTTGGAGGAGAGATTCCTTCCTTATCTGGCCTCCGTGGCCAGGCAGATAGCTTGCTTTGTTCGATGCTGTCTCTCTCCCCCCGCCCCCAGTCTTTCTCTTTGCCCGGCTGCAAAGGGCAGGCCTTTTTGTCGCAGCGACTGTATTGGCCGTCGCCTGCCCGCAAGTTCAGTTTCCCTGCGTTCTCTCTCCATGCAACTTGGACAGCTTAGTCTGGTGTCGCCCCAAAGGGCTTTACGATCTGCCAGCCAACATCTGGTGGTCCCGTCCCCAGGGACATCCATGTTGCCTCGACTAGGGCCAGGGCCTTCTCAGCCCTGGCCCCTAACTGGTGGGATGAGCTCCTGTTATGACATCAGGGCCCTGCAGGACCTGTTACGGTTCCGCAGGTCCTGCAAGACAGAGCTGTTCCACCAGGCTTTTTCCTCCCCTCTCTACTGGGCCTCCCCTCAGTGGGTCAGATCTGTGTTATCATCTAAGGACCCAAACTTTTTGAGTCTTTGACTATGATTTGTACCATAGGAATGTTGTTATATTTTATTGGGGGGGTTATTAGTTTTTAATTCCTTGTATATTGGTTATTGTGTCTGATGGAACTCAGCCTGAGCCTGCTATGTGGGAAGGGCGGGATACAAATCCACTGGAGCAGCGTCGAGTTCAAGTTTTCGCTCTTCCCGAACAACTGTCAGTTCATAACGGGAGCTCAGTTCCCTTTGTCAGTCTGCTTTGCAGGGTTGCTGTGAGGAGACCTTGGAGAACGAAGAGCTGTGCCCGCGCCCCACCCTGCCTCCCCAGAAGAAGGGCGGGATAAAAAGCTAACTGAGAGAAAGAAGCAGTTTCCTGGCTATGTGTAAAGCCTTAATGAAAAATTTCTTACCTGTAGTGGGCCTTGGGCTGGGTCTAGCCACAAGATGGCGCTGTGCTGTTGAGCCTTCCCCATACAGCATCTGGGTTGGTGGTGGGCAGTGGCCTCAAGTTGCAGCTGACTTATGAGGAGTGGCCGTGGCACGCAGAAGGTCCCAGGTTCAATCCCCGGCATCTCCAGTAAAAAGAGCCAGACGGTAGGTGACGTGAAAGACCTTTGCCTGAGCCCCTGGAGAGCTGCTGCCAGTCTGAGTAGACAATGCTGACCTTGATGGACCAGGGGTCTGATACAGTGTCAGGCAGATCCGTGTGTGACTTATGGGGGACCTCTCATGGCAAGAGACGTACAGGGGTGGTTTGCCTGGACTTCCTTGCCGTTCTCCCATCCCAACACTAGTCAGGGCGGCTGACTCCCCCTTAGCTTCCGAGAGCTGAGGAAATCAGGTTAGCCTGGGAAAGCCGTGTTGGGTCATTCTCACAACAACCTTTTAAAGCGTTTATTTCATTCCATTTATACCCTGCTTTCCCCCCCTCCCTCCATTCTGTTCTCACAACAACCCTGTGAGGAAGGCTAGACTATGAGGGTGTTGCCTGCCCAGGGCCACACCTGGAGAGCTCCCGTGGCCGAGCTGGGACTGCAGCTTGGCTCTCCCCAGGCCTAGTCCAACACTACCCATGAGGACACCACACAGGCAAGGACTGTTTTATAATTAGCATAAGGTTAAGAACATAAGGGAAGCCATGTTGGATCAGGCCAGTGGACCCATCCAGTCCAACACTAGTGTCACACAGTGGATCCAGCTTGCTGACTGAATCCAATCTCTCCTTTTTTTGTGATCCTAATGAAGAGACTGCCTTTGAAGTGCGTTCTCCC